CCCGACTCTCAACATCCCAAAACCTCGTCCGCGCCACTCGCGCCACTCGCTCCACTCCCACTCGCTCTAATCAGTGGAACAGGTAATGAGTGGAGTGAGTGGAGCGAGTGGAGCGAGTGGAGCGAGCGGAGCGAGTGGAGCGAGCGGAGCCAGTGGAGCGAGTGGAGCGAGTGGAGCGAGCGGAGCGAGTGGAGCGAGCGGAGCGAGTGGAACAGACGGATTAGCGCCCCCCAACGCCGACACTCTTCGCTTTTTTTTGTTTTTTTTGAAGGGCTCTGTTTAGGGTTCTTTCAAGGGTTCCTTTAAGGCTTCCTTTTGGGTTCTTTGAAGGGTCCTTTCAATCGTTTCTTTATGTGCTACATAAGGGTGTTTAGGGGTTACGGGGTGGCTTTTCCCCTGGGTTACGGAACATGCCGGTCATGCCGGACGGGCATGCCCCCTGAACCACATGTCAGTTATCCTTCTACCCGTGCAGTTCAGACGTCGAGCTGGGCAGGACGTACTCCGCGGCAGTTTTCGATGTGCGTACGATGAGGTGAAGCCGGGGAGCCAGAAGGTTTTGTCTGTGGCTTGCATGGAGTACTATAGGGGCTTACGGCTTAAATAATTGCCTATACCATTTTGGGATTTATGGTATAATGGGATCCCTAACCGTATTCTAATTATTCAGGCCCCGATATTAATCCTGAAGCCAAGAGCTGAACGTCTTGCCTCGGTTTTGAACTCTCTGGGCTTGCATGGATTAGTTTATGCTAGCCGCAACCACTCACCCATTGACTGTTCAGGTGTCTGAAAGCATGCTTCCCAACACTTCAGTCGTTAGAGCTCATCCCCGAAGCCACGAGACCCACAGTTCCCAACCGACTCACGCCCTAAATGCTGCACTCCGTGCGCCGGAGTCCCACATCCGAAGATGCACGTATATGCCCAAAGTCCAACACCCGAACTGCACTCCGAATGCTTCGACCCTAAACAACAGCGCCAAGTGTTCAAACTCCAACCTTGAATCTTGTCGCCTTAAATGCTGAACCGCAGCCCACCGTGCGAAAAGGCCGAAAAACGCCAAACCATCCTAAACCCTTAAAGGCCCTAAGGCCTTAAGCCCGAAACCCTCAAAAGCCGTATGCCCTACACCATCAGCCCTAAAGCCTACAAAAAGCCAGGCTTTCGGCGCGTTCCCGAGGAGCCGGGTCTTTGTGGAGCGAGCGGTGGACCCTTCAGGCAAGGCTTCAGGGCTTAGGCTTCAGGGGTTAGGGTTTGGAGTTTCGGTGCTTCTGAGAAAAGCATTTAGTCTGGTTCTTGTCATCTGCAGTCATCTCGACCGTGACCCTCTCTTCATTTGCGGGTTGTGGCTGGTGGCTGGAAGTTTGTGGCTTTTATGCCTTTGCTGATGACAGTGTTTGAAGCGTGTGCCTCAATAACCTTGAGGCCGCTTAGCGCCGCCTCCCCTGGATCCGCGTTTGCAGGCACCGAGCCCGAGCTACCTGGCAGCAGAGGATTGGATTGTAAATGCATTGTATGGGGCAATGAGGATCGTCTCAAAGTCCGGTATCGGCTGCAAGATGTGGGTGGTTTGCACATCGTGCAGCCGGTCGGGCATGGCGTCGGGAACCGTTGGGTCCAAGACTGCAGACCAGCAACGTCACGCTCAGTTCATCCACCCAACCGGATCCTGTCAGTGTTGACGTTGCGGGTGTTTCGTGATGTTCGGAACTTGTTTGGGCAGGCCCTGTCAAGACTACTAGACCTTGAATAGAAGGGCTTTCTCGCAGCGTCGACTCACAGTTGTAGCTGTAGCTTCTTTCAAAAGACTGGCCGAAGGTGTCTAGAACACCATACAGGGCATGTTGTCGTGAGGCGAACACGTGGTGGTTGCTTCCTGCCCTTCGGGACACCTTCTTGCAGGCCTGGAAAGGCGGAAATCTTCAGATCCTTCAACATAAACGGCAAAAAGCTCGAGCCTAAAAGCCTTAGACGTAGACCTTCAACCCCAGTATCCAGCCTTTGACCTTCGCCGTAAGCATATAGCTGTCACATGTGTTACTACTGACTGCCGTCACTGCTGTACCATTACTGGTGCTCTTCTATGCATCGTGACAAGGAGCTTTACTGTTGTCATCGTTGTTGCTCTACTACCAGGACTGCTACAGTGGTAACTGTCACTGCTAGGATCATGCCTAGTCATTCCGCTCTTCCTACTCTTCATACTACATGTAGAATTGTATAACCCTGTGATGCCCTACAATTTCTCGTAATATTCTTAGTCGTATTTTTCGTAATATTATTAGTAGTATTATTGGTAATATTATTCGTAATATTACTAGCAACAGCATTAGAATATTTTTCGTAATATTATGAGAATATTATCCGTAAAAAAAGACCAGTCTGTTTGTAGCTCTTAGTGCTCCTCAGGGCAGCTCCGATGCCTGGCACGGCGTGCCCTCGAGCCAGGCATGGCCCTGTGCTACGCAGGCGGGAGAGCGGCCTTTCCCTACCAAAGTTCAAAGGGATTAGAGTTCAGGGTTTAGGGTTTGATAAACCCCTTTCTGGGTACCAAAGTTCAAAGGGATTAGAGTTTAGGGTTTAGGGTTTGAAAAACCCCTTTCTGGGTACCAAAGATTAGGGTTGAGGGTTTAGGGTTTGAAAAACCTCCTTTTTGGGTACCAAAGTTCAAAGGGATTAGGGTTGAGGGTTTAGGGTTTTGAAAAACCCTCTTCGGTCCCAAAGCTGAAAGGGATTGGGGTTTAGGGTTCAGGGATTAGGGGTTAGGGTTTAGGACACAAGTTTCAATGCGCCTTGTTGCACCCCTAGAAACGTTTTTGTAAACGCGATCAAACGGCTAAACGTGCACCCTTGTGTCTCTTGCTCATGTATACATACACCCATCACAATAGATTGATGGGGTAATGTCAAGTGTGTATACAGGTATCGGGTGTTCGACCAACTTGTGTCACTGTGTATTCTACATGCATTCTACTGCGTTCGTTTCTGGTCTTCAGTTTCCTCTTCTGTTCGCGTGAGCAAGTGTCTAGGGTACGGTGCTCATGTATGTGTAGACACTACAAAGATGCGCACATGTATGGTGCCGCGTCGCCGCGTCGCAGGCCCCCCCCCCCCACCCCCCATGGTATGCCCCCCCCCCCCCCCCCGCCCGCCCCCAAGCCAGGCCTCTCGTCCCAACAAAGCCCGCATAGCGGGAGGGATAACCCACAACACAAGGAACCACAGGGGTGGGGTAGGATAACCGACAACACAGGGAACCGCAGGGCCCCTTCCCCTTGCCCCTCCCCTTCGACACAGATGAGAATGATGGCGATGATGTTGTGCACCATGACGTTGATGTGCTATCTCCAGTGTGGCTGTTGGCGGTAGCTCTGCTTTTAGGTTGCCCTGGGCTTGGGCACTGCATCGAAAACTGTATGGACCGGTGTCATTCCAAGCCAAGTTTCGGTTGGGTTCGTTCAAGGTCAGCTTGAGCACGTGTTTGAGTGATTTTCATTCGGGACTCTTGAGGAGGAGAGTGCAGATGGGGATCATGACCACCATCTTCGTTATCATCATCATCACAGTCATATTCATCACTATCAGGGGCTTTGGAGCAAGGGGGCGCAGCCAACCGCAACCACAGGCGGGAGGGGTAAGGGAGAACCCACACCACAGGGAACCACAGGGAAGAGGGGGGATACCATGGAGCGGGGGGGGAGGGGGGGCCTGGCAGCGCTGCACCATGTATGCTCGTACCTGTGTATGTGTGTTGGTGTGTGCGTGTGTTTTTGCGGGTCGGTGTGTGTATGTGCGTCTGTATATACGTATACATACATGTATATTACATGTGAGTGCGTGTGTGTCCTTTTGGGTCTGGGTGTCGGTGTTTAGGTGTGTAGGTGTGTAAATCTGCATGTCTCTGCACTTTTTTTTTTTTTTTTTTGTGTGTGTGTGTGCGTGTATGTATGTATGTATGTATGTATGCATGTATGAACGGAATGACGGAATGCATGTATTTATAGAAACACAGATATGCACATATGTATACAGGTGTATGTTTACATACACACACATGTACATTTATGTATAAGTATATGTATACGTATATGCATATGCGCATGCAAATGTGCGTATGAAGAACGCATGCGTTTTGCTCTGCTGGCTCCTTGGCCATGCCTGGGGCAGTTTCGGATAGTTATTCACCTTGTGGCAGCAAGCTTGGCCATGTGTAATAAGGGGGCCTGGATAACTACGAAGATCACTGCAGTTATAATCGTAATTGACTGTACATATATATATATACACATGGTTATACATATATATATATATATATATATGTATGTATATGTATATATACATATATATACATATACATACATGTATATACAGACACACACCCTCCAAAAGATGCATCTTCTAATCATTAAGACCCCTGTATCAGGCGAGCTGTACCACAGCGAAGCCGACCATGCCCACTATTCGATCCCTTTCTGCGTTCAGTCCATTTTCTTGATGCTTTGAGGGATGCCGCAGGAGCACGTAGTGGAGTTTGTCTGTTTTGCCCGACGAGTACTGCGGCTTTCTCCCCAAGCTGTTCGGCATGAATCTGTTTCTTCATGAGTTTGTGGGTTGTGCCTTCCAGAATTCCGGAAAGAATATGGGGCATCCTTCTGTCAAGTCGCGGAGCTCTGTTCCAGCAGCCCTGTTTGGCAGACTGAGATCATCCTATTCCCTTCTGTCTCGCAACGGCATGGTCGTGGATGGAGCACGCTACTCCAATGAGGCATCGTGACTCGCAGATGTTGGAGTGGATTCACACTAGATCGGATGCTTTCGGCAGCTGTGAACGAATTTCATGACTCATGACTGCTTCGAAACATGCCTTGAATGAAGCCGCACTTTGTCAAAAGCTCCTGAGGCTGGCATGCGTGGTGTAAACTTCACGGTCACCAAGGTTTGTGAACCACTACGTGGGAATCGCGGATGCTCCGAACTGTGCCATTGGATCATCTGATATGCATGTGGCGACCATCGAGGTGACTCAGCCTATAGGCAGGTTTGGCTCGTTGCTCTAAACCCGGTGGAGAGCAGGGGTCTTGTAAATGCGGTTTAGGTAGCGCCAAAATGCTTGTATGTCGGGGCAACACAACCGAGCTTTCGGGTTAGGAGTTTGGCCGTTTCGGGTCAGTCGCAGGTCTTGATGAAGAGCTCTTAGTGGACTATGGAATGGAGCACTGCGTGCGCAACGAGGTGCCTACTGACATGAAGGTTTGGAAATGCAGGCCTTGATTCCTTCATCCTCCAGAAATATGTGTTTTTGTGCATCTGAAATCGCAAGCTAAAGCACGCAGTTGAGTTGATGTGGTTTCCAGTGAGTGCGGGGCTCAGCTTGAGCATGTGAGCATGCATGTTGGCAGCATGTACTTCTGTGCCCCCTTAGCAGGTGCCACACCCCCGTGTCCCGGCATGGGCCCGCGATTTTGCAGCCCTTGCAAGGCTGCAGGCGGGCTGAGCATGTCAAGGAAGGCTTTGATGTAGGACTCGATAGATGCTGGGGCTCGAGCGAGTCTCGCGTCGTGCCAAGCAAGACAGCGGCGCCTCAGCTTGCCCCTGGCTCGAGCGTGCAGGGGTGCAGGCAGTGGAAGCAATGAGCAAGGTTTGATGAGGACTGGATTGCAGATTAAGCCTCATACACCGGGAACTCGAAAATTAACTTTCAACACGACGCGTCAAGAAGGCTGTAACTCTGTTTGTGCCTGCCAGACCGCAAGCCGTCAGACCGTAAGGCCGAAGTTAAAGGAAGACAAGCTGCTTTCGAGGGGTGAGTTTCTACCTGCACAAGGTTTGGTCTGCTTGGCTGGAATGTTGTGTCTTTAGGGTTTCGGTTGGATGTTGTGTGTTCCTCTTGGTCAGCACGACGTGTTGCGAGCCGTGGCCCAGATGCATGACTCTGCAGGCGGTTGACGCGCGGCTGTCACGCCTGAAACAGGCTCGGGCTTTGTGTGTGGCTCCGACTTGTCATGCGTTGGCTGAGCTGGCTGAGACAGGCAAAGCTCATGGAGCAGTCTGGTGCACTTCTCGTCGTGTGGTCCGACTTCTTGCACGTTGCGCAGCATAGAACAACATGGCATCGCAGAGCATCGGAATGTATAGCAGAGTGGAGCAGTGTTTTCATCTTTTCTGTAGATCGCTTGAAAGACTAGGCATTCCTGCTTCCTGTCGCAAGCTCTGGCATAAAGCGACGCATCTGTAAAACCTACAACTCGAATGCACAAACCTAGCAAGCTCCACAGCAATTGACAATCTGTATGTATATGTAGTACAAGTTCATTCAAGTATACGTACTACGCATACATGCATACCTATCTGTCTATCTGTCTACGATCTATCTATCTATCTACCTACCTATCTTTCTGGGTATTTATCTATCCGTTCATCTGCCTCTGGATGTGTGTATATATATATAGTATACACGTATCTCTATCTATATGTGTGTATATGAGTAAGTATATGAATAAGTATATGTATATATGTATATGTATTCGTATATGTATACGTATGTGTATATGTACATGTTGTGTATGTATGCATGTACATACATTCATACAGGCACACACTCACACACACACACACACACGCACCCACGCCCTTCTCTCTCTCTCTCCCTCCTCTCTCTCTCTCTCTCTCTCTCTCTCTCTCTCTCTCTCTCTCTCTCTCTCTCTCTCTCTCGCTCTCTCCTTCTCCATCTCTTGCACTCGCTCGTCGCGTGCAGGAGCCGCTGGACTCCGGAACCCGGCGCCTTGATTGCACAAAATAGCATTATACTATATTATACTGGTATATCAATATGTTACTGGCCCAATGTACCAGTATAGAAGCGTTTGAAAAGACAAATTTGTTGTATGAGTATCAGTATACATGGTACTATGCCCTGGCTGTCTTTTGACCGATGAGCCGGTGCTTCCTCGCTTCCCCTCCTCGCCATCACAAGAGAGCAGTCGTGTTGTGAGATCACGCCGGTCTTTTCTTCGTTCTATTTGGTGGTGTACACGGCGAGAGGGCTCATAAATGTATCGCGGCATTCGACCTGCCTCTACTTTCATCATCTCTACCCACTTGAGCAGCGTCCTGCTCTAGTCTGTTTGCTCGCTTAAGACGACTGCTGTGCTTGTGCTGGTTGCTACGATTCCGATGATTACTTTGACTCGGGAGATGAGGCTTCTGGAACTTATGGCAACCTCGCTATCGTCTTTGCAAAGATGGCATGAATAGGACAACTGTCGCTGCTCGTGTGTTCGTCGTGCTGATACCCTCTGGTCGAAACACCTACGACCCTCTTCATCACGATCATGACTATCAACGCTATCGTCATCACCGTCCTTATCGCTTTGATCACCATCGCCATCGTCATAATCTTCTGTCATGCTCTTTAGGCTTCGCCGGCCTTGTGACTGTGTGAAGCAGAGTGAGGCAGCGGGAGCTTCGGACTCTGCTTCGCCAAGGTTCCTTGGCGAAGGATCCTATAGAGGGCGCAAACAAAAATCGATTCAGTAATGATGTTGTTTCTAGGTATTGTCCATGCAAGTGCTGGGATTACTCGGCCGTTAGTTCGATTGGAAGAAGTGTGGTCGCTTCGGGGTTTGTTTTTGCCTGAGTGAAAATTCCACCAGCATCTGCTCTGCAACTCCTAGCCCCATGCCCACACACACACACAACACACCGAGAGACATAGACGGGTGATGTGCAGTCATGGCTTGGAAAGCAACCTTGTCAGCCCTGGCAGGCCATGTCAATGTCTCATTGCTCTCCGAGGATGGTCGCGTGGAGGTTGGAGGATGTTGGAGGGAGTTCCGCTGCGTTGACAAACTCAGAGACGGATCTTGGGTTCAGAGCGTTCAGGGTTTACCAAGGAAGGATTTGGAGATGTACGGTATAGGGTTTAGGACTCGGGATGCTCAGGGTACGAAATCAGGTTAAGGAAACCTTGTACAAGGTTTAAAGTAAGGGGCTTCAGGATATTTGGTACTCTTACAGTACTCTTAAGGGGCGTAAGGCTTAAGGATTTTTGATTGTCTTGGTATTGTGCTGGCGGGGTAGAGAAGTTCAAATTCAAGAAGTTCAGCCGGTAAAGCGAAACCCTTAAAGCCTTGAGCTTTAAGCCGTTAAATCCTAAACCTTGAAACCCTGAACCCTTAAACCCTAAGCCCTTAAACCCTAAACCCTTGAACCGCTGTGTAAACCCTTCTGGCAGGTCAGGAAGCTCCAAAAGGAAGTCAAGGGACGGCTTCGGTCGTTGATGCTCGCATCGAGGGAAAAGTGCATGCTGGGCCGGCATGAAAAAGCCAGCTTAGGGCGGCGTTTTTCTTGAGATATTCGGAGGCTGCTCTGCTACCAGGTGCAAAGCCTCAGTCTCAACTACAGAATGGGTCAGAGGGTAGGTGGTTTTGGCTTTTCTTTGCAAGGCTCGTCGCTGTTAGTCCTGCTAGCTTTTAGCGCCAGCACGTTTGCGGGTGTCAGGGCAGCGCATTTGCTGGCGAGACTCTTCTTCAAGACTGTCCACTGGCTGCGACACGATAGTTGGGTTCCAACACTGTGTATGACACGAGCAATCATGCAATGCCTCACAGCAGAAAATACGGGAGCACTGACATCATACATTCTTGTACGAAATTACATAGCAGTGGAATTCAACCAGAACTGAAGAACCTTCAGCCTAAGCAGCCGCATGTAGAGCAAACAGAGTCTGCAACCCACTGGCGCATGCACAGCATGTGTTGGAAAAAAGATGGTTGCAGCCAGAAGCCTAAACCCAAAGCCCCAAGTTAGAAGATTTGGCTTCACTCCCGCCATGCAGGCCGAAGCACTCTCAGACGCGCGGAAAGGCAACGGAGAAGCCGTGCGAAAACAGTCCGACTTGCTGCACTCAGGGTTGCGTTGTCGAATGAGATTGGGGTGGTTGCTGGCATTCTGAGATTTGCAAGGTGCCTAGTTAAGGGCCTAATCTGCATGCCCCTGCTCAGGGTCGATTTCACTGTGCTTCGAACATGTAACTCTCGGGAATGTGCAAATCGCCACCGCTCTTTCAACGGCCTGTCCCCCCAACTGCTAGTATTACAAACCCAAACTCTTAGACCCTTCAAGCGGCCTAGACTCTTAACCCTGAAGCCTTAAACCCTAAACCCTAAACCCTAAACCCTAAACCCTAAACCGTGAAGCCTTAAACCCTTGAAGCATGAGACACCGCAGCGCGGGCTCAGAGTCGTCGTAACGTCGCCCCTGCCCCGGGCGGCGGAGACTCGCCAAAAGCTCGAAATGAAGTTGACCGCAAGCCTGGGACCCCAGCCAGGATCAGGTTCAGGGTCAGGGGTTTAGGGTTCGGGGTTTTTGGGGTTTCGGGTTTTGGGGGATGTAGGGTATAAGGGTAAGATTAACGGGCTCAGGAAGTTGCGTTTAGGTGTGGGAAGATCTTAAGTTAGGGTCGATGGGAGGCAGACGGGTCGAGGCGCCGGTTTTACAGCTTAGGGTTTAGCGTGCTTTAGCAGAATTTTGGAGGGGGTGGAGTCTTGTAGCAGCTTGCGAATTTAATGACAGTTACAAGGCGGTTGAGGATGCGCATCGCTGTCGTCGTCGTCGTCGTCGTGGTCGTCGTCGTCGTCGTCGTCGTCGTCGTCGTCGTCGTGGTTGTCGTTGTCGTTGTTGTTGTTGTTGCATTTTAGGCGCAGGGAGGCGGACTTGTAGATCTTCAGTAGAGTTTGCATCTTCACTTCATCCCGAGGGCTCCGGCTGAGCTTTTGAGTCAAACTCAAACCTCAAGCAAAGCCCTAAACCCCACGCCCTAAACCCCTAAACCTCTAAAACCCTAAAGCCTAAACCTCTAAGCCCTAAACCCCCAAATCCCCAATCCCTAAACCCTGAAGCCAAAAGTTTTGAAGCTCGTTGAAATCTACGGCCCAGCCAAATTGCAGTATGGAGAGCACGAAGCTGTGCTTGGCCTGACGGAACTGGTGTCTCAAAGTTTTTGGGTTTTCGTGGTTGGAGTTCTCGCAAGGAGCGCTGTCGTTCCTGGCGGTGGCATTGTCGATTGCAGAGGCCACGGCTCTTGAAGCCAGGATAGACAGCTGATGCGAGTTTGACTTCTTAACGCCATGCCTCGCATGTCATGTATGTCTTGGAGCCAGAAGCGAGACAAGGAAGAATCCTTCCTTTCAGCATGGGGCCATGTGTTGTTGAGGAAGATGCCAGCAGTGTTCTCTCTGGCACTTGCTGCCGGGTTTTGTGTTTTCATCGCTTCCCCCCCCAGAATCATGGATGTTGTAGAAGAGCAGGAGTGAGCAAGAGGTTTGCTAAAGTGCAGTGTATGAAGCCCATCGCGGTTTCTCGGTCCGAGTAGTCAGTATTGATCTGCCGGCATCGTCCTTATGTAATCCTCGGTTAAGCTTTGCAGCTGAAGGCCACCAAGATCCGAAAGCCATGCACTTGGACTTCGGGGCCTGGAATTTTGCGAAAATAGGG